ATACTATTTATATTTCATAAGTTTAAATTTCTCTTTTAAAAACTTACATTTTTTAATTTCTTTTCAACTTAAAAAAAAACATTAAACAATAAATTTTGAAAAACTTTAAATTTATACTTTTTATAAATTTTCTTTTTATTCACTTTTTTTCTATTTCTAAAAGCAACTTTTATATTTTTTCTTAAATAAAAATTTAAATTTATCACTTATAAAATAATAAAAAAATAAAAACTTTTATAAATTAATCTAAACACACCCTTAGTAAAATAATAAAAAGCTTCTGGAAGGCAACTGACATTGTCCGAAGGCAGGTGGAACCAGCCAACATTGACCTTGTCCGAAGCCGCCCTTCGACGCCAGCGCGTTTTTTCTAATTTCTATTTTTCCCTTCGATCTTAAAATTGAGTAAAGAGAAAAAAAAAAAAAAATCAAAAATCAGTCTTAAAAATTAATCGGTGTCTGAAAAAACAAAAAACCTCGAACACGGTCTATCTTTCTTCTTCAACAGTTCAACCAAACGGAAAAACACAAAGGAAAAGTCTCTGTGCATCTTTGGATCTGCGGTTGATCTTCGTTACTCTCCATTGGAGACAAATCAACAGAGAATGTGTCCCTTAAGGTTCATCTTGGTGTTTTTCTCGGCAATTTTAGCTGGGTATTTTGCGTGGAGGACGGTACGGTCGTCTCCAGAAATTGGGGAAATTGATGCTGAGGGTTCCATGGAGGAGAAGACGGCGGCCAAGGATAAGCAAGAACTCGATTTTAAAATGGTATGTTTTGTTTCTTAAAAAGCTTTTTTTTTAAAAAAAAAATTTTCTAAGAAATTTGTGGATTGGTTTCTTGGTTTTAATCGTGTTATGGGTTTCTTTCTTCTTTTCGGATTCCAGAAGGTTCAGAATGGATTCTGGGTATTGGTGGACATGGCCAGTGGGAGGTATCTGTGGAGGAATCTGAGAGATTTGAAGAAGAAAGATGAAGTCAAGAGCTCTTAGGGTTCTTGGGTATTAGTTGTAAAATTTGTAGAAATTAATTGTGAGAATTGTTCTTACTTCCATTGTAATAATCAGTATATATTCCTAATAGAGGAATAAGTGAATTTTTCTTCTCTTTCCTAAGCTATTCTTGAACCAAGTTGCAATTTTTTCCTGGAAAATTTCATGTAAAACTGTTTCTTTTCTTCGATCAAAAGAATCTGAAAATCCCCATAGTTTAATTCCTTAACAGTGTGTGCTAACTGGGAATGCTTTGTGGATTTACACATTGAGCTTATATATAGAATGATTAGTATATATAGAACATGATTTTATGCACATTCAGTATCGAAGAAAGAACGCAAATTGTGCATTGATGACATAGAAACAGTGGTTCAAATCAAACTGTAACTTGATAGGCATGCACAGAAGAGTAAGAAGGGCACCTTGAAGAAGGGGAGCATATCTTGCAAGATTGGAGCCAACCCACATTGCGACAACAGCCAGAGCAACTGTGCTGGTGGTGGTATTCCTTCAAACAGAGGTTGTAGGCACAAGGTCACCATGTAAGTAGCCGATCTTGAATCCAGCATCCAGCTGTTTATTAAAAGGGGCCAGCAAGCTAGTGAAAGAAATAGTAGGGAACCGAAGCTCTGCAGCAAGAACAGAGACGTGAAAGCAGATCTTAGCACTTCAGTAAGGGAGCCACATTCTTTATCCAGGTTTCCTTCTGCGTCATCATCTGTTTCATTATTTCTTTTTTTTTTTTCCTTTTTTTTTTCTAATTTCCAATCATGATGTGCTCGGACCAACTTTATGTATCTTCAGTGATCATAAGGGTACACCCTACCATCAGCACTATGCATTAAGAAAATTAATTTCAACCCTGAACTTTGCACGACACTTGTGCTGATCATCTGTTTCATCATAGAAGAATGAATTCTTCTCGTTCACGTTATGTTGTTCTTTATATCTCTCATGCATCCTTCATTTCAACTCAGCCCATCTACAAATCTTCATCCTATCTTCAAATTCAGGACTGTCATTTCATTTCCTTTAATCCCTTTAAATAATCCCCAGTATCCTCTTAGAAGGTAAGTGCTCTATCATTCTGAATTCTTGTCATGTTTATTAGATATTACTTTAAGAACATAGAGCACTTGAATTTTTTTTCACTACTTTTCCAAAATATAAACACAAAATTTCTATAATGTTATTATACCATGATATAAGGAGAAACATCCAATCTCAACTCCACAAATCCAGAGACAAAGTACAGAATTTCAATTCAATAGTATTATTTCTATCAAAGATAGATAATATGGTATTTTCTCAAAAATCATCGGGTGGCTTTACATGTGTAAAATCTGGATACAGTCTTGATACTTACTTTTTTGAAAAACAAGAAAAAGGGATTTCCCAAATGACCCTTTCCTTCCACACCATCTACCTCCGTTAGGATAGCTGGAAGAACGTTGGTTTAAGATTGAGTTCTGCACCATTCAGACAATTTGTAAGAGGGAGGGCTACCTTCTTGCATAATGGGTTGTTAATCTACCTTGAACAATTTTAAGGACTTTATCACTACTGTGAATTTAAGTAAATAGATTTAAAATGAATTGAATAAGATGCAAATTAGAGTAAACTTGATGTTTATTGCGTGAAAGGGAATCAAAGAAGCAATTACACAAACTAATTTGGGTACTTAAATGTTGAAAACAATCTAAATCTATTGAGGTTTGTGCTAAAACTGAAGTATGAAAATTAAGGTGAGCAATCACTACGAAACTAAAGAATTGAAAATTTGATTAGTTTCGTGCAAGGCTGGCTGTGTGTTGAAAAATCTGAAACCTTCTATTTATAGGCCTCCTAAGAACTACTCCTCTCTTCACTTGCAAGCTGTTTACATCACAAATAATAACTTCCTTCTAAATTCTAGGGATTCTTGTTTCTTTTAAATTCAAACTGCAACAAATCGGATAATTTTTATCTTCCCAACCAATTTTACAAATATGCATCTCTTTGGTAGATCTAATCTCACCTTATCCATTAATACGTGGAATCATTAAAAAAAAATGCTATTTGTGGTGTAAACGTATAGTCTTGACTCTTGGCAAAATCATGCATAAAAAGAGCAATGACTACTGAATTAAGGCTTACAAGGATATGAGGAAAGAAATCTTTACATATCCTTTCCTACTCGTGAATCTTTACTAACAGGAGGATCAGGGTGATATTGAAGAACACAGAGGATAACTTAAGCATTCATATCTCAAAGAAAAATGCTTCTTCCTATCTGTAGCCTCTTTTCTCCTACTTCATTCGCTTTGTCATCCTCTTCCCTTTGCTTGCCTCTCCTTCCTCCACGACCCTATCAAAGAGACCCTCCTTGTATCTCCACCAAGTTTTGGGATGAAAAGCTAGAGAAGGAACTAATCGTCGCAACCGGCGTTGACGTGCCGACCCATAGACAAGCAGCACTGCTACATGGATGATTGGCAGGTCCAGTCTGGTAATGGTAATTGTCGGTGCCGGTTGGCTTGCTACCTAGCACTGCAATGGCAAGAGGCTCATTACTGGGCACGCCAAAAGTGTGACATCAGATAAAATCAATAATTTATTAATAATGAATTTATTAATGATGTAATAAATTAATAAATTATTGATATTAAATGATATTACATGTTAAATTTAAGGTAATTTATCTAAAT